GTCCTTTGCTGGCTTATGCTGGTCCTTTGCTGGTTTAAGATGGTCCTTTGCTGGTTTATGCTGGTCCTTTGCTGGTTTATGCTGGTCCTTTGCTGGTTTATGCTGGTCCTTTGCTGGTTTAAGATGGTCCTTTGCTGGTTTAAGATGGTCCTTTGCTGGTTTAAGATGGTCCTTTGCTGGTTTAAGATGGTCCTTTGCTGGTTTATGTTGGTCCTTTGCTGGTTTATGCTGGTCCTTTGCTGGTTTATGCTGGTCCTTTGCTGGTTTAAGATGGTCCTTTGCTGGTTTAAGATGGTCCTTTGCTGGTTTAAGATGGTCCTTTGCTGGTTTAAGCTGGTCCTTTGCTGGTTTAAGCTGGTGCTTTGCTGGTTTATGCTGGTCCTTTGCTGGTTTATGCTGGTCCTTTGCCAGCACATGACCAGCATAAACCAGCAAAAGGACCAGCATAAACCAGCATCAAAACATACCTAACCAACATATGCTGGTTTTTTCAACAGGGAGGCTACTTGAAAGTAATCGCAAGCAGACAAATAATAACACGAAACAGCAGGTGGCGCAGCGAAATTCACTAACGTAACTTGTGTGAGTTATGTTTACCTGACACGTAAATTACACACATCCGTACCCAAAACAAAAATATTGAAGCAGTTATGTTCATTTTTGAAAACGTATGTTTTTAATAAGTAACTAGATAAGAACGTTTGGGCTGTGAGTGTGTAATTTACGTAGTAGAACAAAAGGTAGAAGTATCGTTAAGTTATGTTTACCACAGGCTTTATTTTACTCATAAATTGATAAACCCCATTATAAAACCCCACAGGACAATCCGGAAGGAACCCGCGGCGAATTACTCTTCCGTTTTCTGACGTCATAGCCTATAAAAACGCTCCATTTTCTTTATGTAATGTTGCAGTGTTTATTATAAACAATTGCAAACTGAAACGTAATGAATGAACTGACCCAAAGAATCACAAGACATCTTATTTTAATAGTTTCTAAACAACACACCGATGGTTTTGTGGGTATATATTAACATGTAAATTGTTTTTTGAGGTTCAAACAGCAACGCAATTAAGAAAAACAGATATAAGCATCAAGTATGGTGTCAGATGAAAAATGTGATTTTTCTGAATCACTGGTCCATTACACGGTGTCAAAAACATTTAAAAACAAAGGACCTGAGTTAAACTAAACCATAACCTGAAATCCACTGATACATCTGGTATGCATTAAACGATTATGATTATTATCACTTATATACTCATGATTATACCTGTTATGTAAACACAAAGTCAAAGTACAGTAAAGAATAAATCATTACATAATTGTGTAAATCTAACCGATCACGTCGATCTGACTTTTCCCTGAAGCTTCCCTTATCGCATCCCATCACAAACATTGTGAATAATGTTTTACACTTTGTATTAACTCTGAAGAGAAAAGAACAACACAAAATTAGAGATCAGGACAAAAATCAATCACATTTTTCAAAGTAAATAAATCTCAAAGTAAGTGTCAAGTCTCCACAAAAAAGGGAAAAAATACACACTTGATAACATTGAGTATAAATAAACACAATAAAATGAGTTAAATGAAGGCCGCCACAAAAAAAAAACAAAAAGGCAAAGAAAGGAAAAAAAATATTATTAAAGGTGCGGTAGATTTAAGGACGCACTTTTTACTCTTTCCTGAATTACATCACTATCACCGTCACAGTATTAATCATGTATCATCATCAGTATTATTATGAGTTTTCCTGTCAAATTAGATTTAAATGAATATTTCGCACAAAAATTAAAATTCTGTCATTATTTACTCACCCTCAAATTTCTTGAAATCACATGATTTTTAAAGACATTTAACAAAATGTTCAGGCTGCTGTTTGCCATACAATAACGACTGATTTTATTTTCAAGAATTGTTTTATTTTCATTTATTAAAAATAAAAACAAAACAGATATATGAATATTCATATATATTCATATGTCTGTTTTGTTTTTATTAATTGATGAAACAGACACGCATGTATGATGATATGTATGTATATATGTGTGTGTGTGTCCGTTTTGTTATATATATATATATATATATATATATTATAAATATAGTCAATAAAATTTTCCGTGTCCTGTTTCCCCTACAATAAAATTAATATTTTATGCCAAAAAAAACCAAAACAGATTTTTACAGAAAAAAAAAAAAAAAAAAGGGATTACAACTGAATTTTTTTTTTTGAGAGAACTATTCCTTTTTACCGAGATGGTCACAAAATATTTACTTGGCTTTGCAGCTGAAAACGACACTAAAAACAGTTTAATTTCTAATTAGAAATAACAGGAAAAAACTGCTTGCCTATCATTCTTTTCATCAAAGCCTGTCATTTCTTCACAGGGCATCGTTAGTATAAAATCGACCCATTTTTAGACTCAAACAGTGGCTGATCTATAAACCTCACTGATTATCCTTATCTTAAGGCCAGCCGCCAATATTTTAGTGTATATCTTTGTATGCTAAAGATTACATTTGCAAAGCAAACGCATTTGTTGGTGCCTAATCAAAAGTACATAAGCTTTGGTAAAAAGACAAATACAGAAAAGTAAGCGAATATTCACCCAGTCCGGCTACATTATCAGACCTGCGCATTACGAGGCGTAAAGGCAAAGTTAAAACAACGTGGGAAGGGTTTCCCGTGCTGTAGGTTAGGTGGGGTTGGGCTGGGTTCACAAAAAAACATTAGAACACGGAAAACAGGGAGCCGAGGGCCAATCCCGTCGCAGCACCGGCAAGCATCCCCAGAGCAACGTCACCTGTGTCGTCACGCCGGCGCTCCTGAACTATGACCTGGTTGACGCCGGGTGCGTATCCGCCTGATGGAGACAAATAAACAAACGTCAATCAAACTACATAAAGGTTATGTCAAAAGTCAACAAACTTCCTGTTACCTTGATAATGATACGGGTAGGCAACTGCATACTGCTGGCCATCTGCGGAATAGACCATCTGTGTGGCATAAGGCGGAGGATGAGGAACATAACCGCCATATCCATCAGGATAGAAAACCTAGATGAAAATCAGGGGGGAAAAAATCAGGGATGCATGATTTATCAAAATTTTTTTTTTTTTTTATTGGTATAAATATATCGTTTATAATTTCTTCCTGGATGCTCATAACATTTAGATATAGAATATTTCTATTACTTTTTTTTCTCATATTTAATTACATTTTTAAATGATCTGTACTGTTGCATTATAATTTATGTAAAATTATTTCATTATTAAATTAATATATTTTTTACTTTTTAATCATGCATGCTCCTTCCCCTATTTTTATATTCAAATGATTTGTTTTTATTTGTAGCGATTTTTGTTACATTTAATGATTTAAAAAAATAATAATTATAAAATTTTATAAAATTATTTATAATTCTATCATAAAACAACTATTTTTCATTTTTATTTATTATACATTTTCTTTAGTTTTTCGTTATATTTAATTACATTTTACATTATTTTTTAATCATTATAAAAAAAAATTTTAATTACATTATAACATGATTCAATTATTTCATTATTTTACCAAGAATTCTTTATTATTGGCTCTGGAATATTTAAAATTGTAACTGTACAAGCTCATTTTACATATACATTTTTTTATTTTATTCTCTCTCTCTCTCTCTATATGTAATCTGACCTCGATTGTTCAAGCAAGTTTAAGCAAACAGAAATAATGAATTCATCATCTAAATAGAGCTTAGATTTACAAGACAAACAAGATACAGCCTAGATAGTCAGCTTACTAGGTTTTGAGACACAAAGTTCAGCTGTTTTTCAACTTCCGTCTAAAATCTCGTGCCAAGATATCAAGAAGAGGACAGGACTAAAAGCAAAACTGAAAAGCTTTTCCGTTCAACCTCAAGGCTAAACATTTCGCATAACCTTAAATGATTTATATTTCATGAGTTCCCAGAATTGAGTTTATATGAATTACAAAACATGCTCAAATTAGACAGCAAAACAACTAAAACGAAGGATTTTAAGGACATAAATGTGGTGTAATAAACACTCACTTTGTCTGTGCAGCCATCCGCTCTTCACAGTCGCCATCCTCCAATAAACTCACTACCTAAACATACAAAAACAATTCACTTAAAGCCTTTTAATGTATAGAATATTAAGCATGTATTGCTTATGTTAGACAGTAGCGTTAGCTGTTGAACTTCTCCGTCTATCAGCTTCAGAGCTAGCCTGCGCTCGCGGCGCCGTCGTGCAAAAAACGACGACAAACCGGCGAAATAAACACCCAGAGATATCCCAAAACTACCACAAACATGTCGAAACACGATACCTGTCGTGTTTATGCAATATTAAATGAGTAGATCTAGCCTCTTTGTTGTGTTGACGCTCGGAGCGTGCGCGACTAGCAGAGCAGCATCTCTCTCTCAGCTGAAGCCTAGCCTCCTTCTGTCTCCGTGACCGCATCAGATGACCCACACGACTCTCAGCAGGTTCCGCGGACTTCTGCAGACTTTACACCCTTTGTTTGGATGAGATACTATAGTACAGAGCGTTTTCAGGACAAATAATGAATGTATTTAACATGTAGGGATCAAAGCAGGCGGAATGAAAAGACTTTCGAGAATATTCCGGTGAAATGATCTTAGGTGCTTTTGACTGATTTCAGAGTGTTAACAAACTAAACAAGGGTTTGGAAAGTTACAGGTGTAATATATTATAAAATATTGTTATATTATAGATAATATGAGGATGTTATAATGATATTAATATAATGAGACGGAGATTTTATATAGCCTAGCAGTAAACTATAGCATAATATTTAACATTATGTATATATTGTTTACATAAAATAGAATATTTTAGAATATGAAATAATTTCACACACACATATATATATATATATATATATGTTTTTTTTTAAATATTATACAACATAATAATAATATATTTTTTCTTTTTATTACTTTTTAATATATTTGTAACATTTTTCTTAACATATTCATTTAAATGTATTTTTCTTTTTCAATACATTTCACAACCTTTTTCAGTATATTCATTTATATTATGAATCTTATAGTGCATTATATGAAATATTATAATATATGATTTCATATTTTTTATCAAGTTCTTTAAATTTTTTTTATTTCTTTCCTTTACCGTTTTCCTTTAATATCACAATTATTACACCCAACCACTCAACACGCACATTATATAAATGTGAAAACATTTAATAAAAATGTGAAATGTTATGAAATGTTATATTATAATTTAAGTATAATATAAAATAATTTAAATATAATATATTATAAAAATAAAATTATATATATACATATATATATAATAAAATTTTTATCATATATTATATTTAAATTATATGACATTATATTATACTTAAATTATAATACTGTATAACATTTCATAACATTTTAAAAAAATTCTTAATAAATCAATTACATTTTTTTTCTTTCACATAAATTACACTTTTTTTCTGTACATATATTTTAGTGACCAATACAATTTTATATGGAAGTTATTAAGAAAAGTATTGCTTTACTGTTGACTATATTTGTATGACTAGCATTTACATTTTAATTGAGGAAATAATATATATTTCCACTATATAATATATAATAACATTTCATAATTTTCCTTTAAAAATATTCATTATTTTTCTGTATGCATCAAATAGAATTTTACATGTAAGTCACTAAGAAAACTCTTTGTGTACTTTGCGATCTTTATAAAAATGTCATGTTCATACATGTAAACACTGAAAACAGTTACAACATTTGATTGCTCTCACCACTAGATGGCGCAGTTTCACTGGGAATGGGGTGCATTTAAAGCAGCACTATGTAACTTTTGGCGCTTTAGCGGTTAATAAACAGAACTGCACACATCCCGCGGAAGAACATTCCAACCGGAACTACTTCTCTAAGTTTGAGTCTATGGCGATTCACGCAGGTATGTGTTACTCCGCAGCGGTGACGACCCGACCAGCCTACAATAGTCCAAATATAAGTACTTATTATAAGTGTACCGCAGTGACTCGGAATAAGACAAAAACGCGGTTTGGAAGATGAATTCATGATGTACTCGCTCATTATATACATTTGGCAAATTTTGAACACAGAAAAAGTTTCATAGTGCTGCTTTAAAGTTCCTGCAAAGGAAAACGTGCATTATTGTCTTTTCAATGAAAAGTAACCAGCAACCTTCATATGAAGTTCTGCGTTTGCATCTGCAGTCATCGTGTTCCTCCATCACACTGCATTTGCCTAAGCCTTATCCAGCTCAGTGTTTTCCCAGTGACCTTTCCCACTGACAGCTTAGTGAATGAGGGTCAAAACCAAATCATACTGAATTATCAAACCATAAACCCCTCATTTATGAAGCGTATGGAGCAGAATTGCATTAGATCCCCTCACATTTGCATTTACACTAGCAAACTGAATCACAAACCACTTTGAGATCCAGTTTAACATTCAGAGGCTCAAGGTTAGGGTAATATGGTGCAACTACAGTGACACTTCTTTAAATGGACTGCTCTGAGAACAGATAGCCGGATGTAATCCTGTACTGTAACCTGTAGACAGTGTCCTGTCCACTTCCACAGCTGGGATCAGAGCAGGTCGGTTGGCACAGCTGAGCTCGTTCCAGAGCTGGTGGAAATAATCTCATCCGAGCCTCATTCACTCATACTGGGGAGGCTCCTAGGGGCCAGATTGAAGTGATTTACGCAACAATGTCTCGCCAGTGGTTGGCTGTTGCGGATTTTGTTTTGTCTTAATCTTTGGGCAGATTAACCGACCGAACCAATTGTGTGCCTCCACGGGACTAATGTGTGGGGAGAACTTGTGAACTCAAAACAGAGTCCCTGCAAACTTCATCTAGACGAGAATATATTGCTCTGGAGGAAGTATAATAAAATGTTTTTTTTCTGGATACTATGACGGTCAGCCATGCATATGACATCAGTGACTGACAGGTGAGTGTCATTGAAGTTTACATTAGTGCTTGTGCTGTTAAGTGAGTTTTTGTTTTTACAGTATTCTGTAGATCTGCAAAATGTAGAGTTTGTAATAGTTGTTAATCGGATATAAACCTACATAAAAAAGATTTTAAAAATTATATTATATTATGATTAAAATGGTATAAAATAATATAATTTAATATATATATATATATATATATATACACACACATATTATATATATATATACACATATTATATATGTCTATCCTCCTGAGAACCAGAAATAAAAAGCTTTGTGAATTTAGTATTTTTTCATGCCATTACATTGTTTAGAGCATAAGAAAAAAATTGTAAAATAACTTTTTTTTTAAATTATATTTTATTTATGTGTTATGCTATGTCCTCTGTAGAGGACACCAGGATTCAGTTTTTCTAAAAATAAAATGACAAGAGTAGACATGAAAAGGCAAAAACAATGGGAATTTTTTTAAAATCACCAATCAATTTTTAGGTTTCAAGATTTTTTTTATACCTAACTTTGTTTAAGGAGGGTTCTCAACTATGTTATAAAATATATAGCAAAATTATTTGATATACCATTTTGCTTTATGAAATATGTGTGTAAAAATTCCATAAACTGGTTTTCCCATTAAGCACAATGTTAGCTATACACTGTATCTAATTTGCATATTAAAGTGCTGTTGGGAAAGCATGTTGAAAAAAGAAGTGTAATAATGGGAGTAGTAATTGGCCAGATTTTCATAATAATATCTAATATTTCATAAGAATATTGATCAGTATATTACATTATAATGTTTAATGTTTACATTTTACAAAAAATACAAAAATATTATTAAATAAAAAGTAATAAATAACTGAATTAATATATTTATTGTATATATATATATTTTAAATAAATGAAAATTACTCATAAAATATATACTGTATTTTTTTACTATATTATTTA